AGATCATATCTTGGGTCACAAATCAAGCCTTGGTAAATTTAAGAATATTGAAATTGTTTCAAGTATCTTTTCCGATCACAACGCTATGAGACTAGATATCAATTACAGGAAAAGATCTGTAATAAATACAAACACATGGAGGCTAAACAATACACTACTTAATAACGAAGTGATCACTGAAGAAATCAAAGAGGAAATCAAAAAATACCTAGAAACAAATGACAATGGAGACACGATGACCCAAAGCCTATGGGATGCAGCAAAAGCATTTCTAAGAGGGAAGTTTATAGCAATACAACCCTACCTTAAGAAACAGGAAACATCTCGAATAAACAACCTAACCTTGCACCTAAAGCAATTAGAGAAAGAAGAACAAAAAAAACCCAAATTTAGCAGAAGGAAAGAAATCATAAACATCAGATCAGAAATAAATGAAAAAGAAATGAAAGAAACGATAGCAAGGATCAATAAAACTAAAAGCTGGTTCTTTGAGAAGACAAACAAAATTGATAAACCATTAGCCAGACTCATCAAGAAAAAAAGGGAGAAGAGTCAAATCAATAGAATTAGAAATGAAAAAGGAGAAGTAACAACTGACAATGCAGAAATACAAAAGATTATGAGAGATTACTACAAGCAACTCTATGCCAATAAAATGGACAACCTGGAAGAAATGGACAAATGCTCAGAAATGCACAACCTGCCAAGACTGAATCAGGAAGAAATAGAAAATATGAACACACCAATCACAAGCACTGAAGTTGAAACTGTGATTAAAAATCTTCCAACAAACAAAAGCCCAGGACCAGATGGCTTCACAGGCGAATTCTATCAAACATTTAGAGAAGAGCTAACACCTATCCTTCTCAAACTGTTCCAAAATATAGCAGAGGGAAGAACACTCCCAAACTCATTCTAGGAGGCCACCATCACCCTGATACCAAAAGCAGACAAGGATGTCACAAAGAAAGAAAACTGCAGGCCAATATCACTGATGAACATAGATGCAAAAATCCTCAACAAAATACTAGCAAACAGAGTCCAACAGCACATTAAATGGATCATACACCATGATCAAGTGGGGTTTATTCCAGGAATGCAAGGATTCTTGAATATATGCAAATCAATCAACGAGATACACCATATTAACAAATTGAAGGAGAAAAACCATATGATCATCTCAATAGATGCAGAGAAAGCTTTCGACAAAATTCAACACCCATTTATGATAAAAACCCTGCAGAAAGTAGGCATAGAGGGAACTTTCCTCAACATAATAAAGGCCATATATGATAAACCCACAGCCAACATCGTCCTCAATGGTGAAAACCTGAAAGCATTTCCACTAAGATCAGGAACACGACAAGTTTGCCCACTCTCACCACTCTTATTCAACATAGCTTTGGAAGTTTTAGCCACAGCAATCTGAGAAGAAAAGGAAATGAAAGGAATCCAAATGGGAAAAGAAGAAGTAGTGCTGTCACTGTTTGCAGGTGACATGATACTATACATAGAGAATCCTAAAGATGCCAGAAACCTACTAAAGCTAATCAATGAATTTGGTAAAGTAGCAGGATACAAAATTAATGCACAGAAATCTCTGGCATTCCTATACACTGATGATGAAAAATCTGAAAGTGAAATAAAGAAAACACTCCATTTACCACTGCAACAAAAAGAATAAAATATCTAGGAATAAACCTACCTAAGGAGACGAAAGACCTGTATGCAGAAAATTATAAGACACTGATAAAAGAAATTAAAGATGATACAGATAGATGGAGAGATATACCATGTTCTTGGATTGGAAGAATCAACATTGTGAGAATGACTCTACTACCCAAAGCAATCTACAGATTCAATGCAATCCCTATCAAACTACCACTGGCATTTTTCACAGAACTAGAACAAAAACTTTCACAATTTGTATGGAAAGACAAAAGACCCCGAATAGCCAGAGCAATCTTGAGAACGAAAAACGGAGCTGGGGGAATCAGGCTCCCTGACTTCAGACTATACTACAAAGCTACAGTAATCAAGACAGCATGGTACTGGCACAAAAACAGAAAGATAGATCAATGGAACAGGATAGAAAGCCCAGAGATAAACCCACGCACATATGGTCACCTTATCTTTGATAAAGGAGGCAGGAATGTACAGTGGAGAAAGGACAGCCTCTTCAATAAGTGGTGCTGGGAAAACTGGACGGGTACGTGTAAAAGTGTGAGATTAGATCACTCCCTAACACCATACACAAAAGTAAGCTCAAAATGGATTAAAGACCTAAATGTAAGGCCAGAAACTATCAAACTCTTAGAGGAAAACATTGGCAGAACACTCTATGACATAAATCACAGCAAGATCCTTTTTGACCCACCTCCAAGAGAAATGGAAATAAAAACAAAAATAAACAAATGGGACCTAATGAAACTGCAAAGCTTTTGTGCAGCAAAGGAAACCATAAACAAGACCAAAAGACAACCCTCAGAATGAGAGAAAATATTTGCAAACGAGTCAACGGATAAAGGATTAATCTCCAAAATTTATAAGCAGCTCATGCAGCTCAATAACAAAAAAACAAAAAACCCAATCCAAAAATGGGCAGAAGACCTAAATAGACATTTCTCCAAAGAAGATATACAGACTGCCAACAAACACATGAAAGAATGCTTAACTTCATTAATCATTAGAGAAATGCAAATCAAAACTACAATGAGATATCATCTCACACCAGTCAGAATGGCCATCCTCAAAAAATCTAGAAATAGTAAATGCTGGAGAGGGTGTGGAGAAAAGGGAACCCTCTTGCACTGTTGGTGGGAGTGTAAATTGATACAGCCACTGTGGAGAACAGTATGGAGGTTCCTTAAAAAACTACAAATAGAACTACCATACGACCCAGCAATCCCACTACTGGGCATATACCCTGAGAAAACCATAATTCAAAAAGAGTCATGTACCAAAATGTTCATTGCAGCTCTATTTACAATAGCCCGGAGATGGAAACAACCTAAGTGTCCATCATTGGATGAATGGATAAAGAAGATGTGGCACATATATACAATGGAATATTACGCAGCCATAAAAAGATACGAAATTGAGCTGTTTGTAATGAGGTGGATAGACCTAGAATCTGTCATACAGAGTGAAGTAAGTCAGAAAGAGAAAGAGAAATACTGTATGCTAACACATATATGTGGAATTTAAGAAAAAAAAATGTCATGAAGAACCTAGGGGTAAGACAGCAATAAAGACACAGACCTACTAGAGAATGGACTTGAGGATATGGGGAGGGGGAAGGGTAAGCTGTAACAAAGCGAGAGAGAGGCATGGACATATATATACTACCAAACGTAAGGTAGATAGCTAGTGGGAAGCAGCCGCATAGCACAGGGAGATCAGGTCGGTGCTTTGTGACCGCCTGGCGGGTTGGGATAGGGAGCGTGGGAGGGAGGGAGACGCAAGAGGGAAGAGATATGGGAACATATGTATATGTATAACTAATTGACTTTGTTATAAAGCAGAAACTAACACACCATTGTAAAGCAATTATACTCCAATAAAGATGTAAATAAAATAAAATAAAATAAAAACAGTCATGACAATAGATAATGCTATGGATTGCCTTCTTTGCTAGGAGCTCATAATAAACCATGAAGACGTTATTGTTATCCCCATTTTATAGAAAAAGAAACCAAGGCATGGGGCAGTTCAGTAATTCACCCAAGGCCCATAGCTGGTGAATGGCAGACCCCACCCCACCCCATTCAAACTCAGATCTTGATTCTGGAACCACGGTCTTAGCCACAACCCCTGGGACCACAGCCTTAACTTTGCCAGTAGGCTACGGTCCTCTCCCACATCCTTGTTCTTAGAAATGTTCACCCAGAGGCAGCCCGTGCTAACACCTCAGACCAATGAAAGGTCTTGTCTACTCCCCCTGAGCGCGCTCTCTCTCTCTGTCTCTCTGTCTCTCTGTCTCTCTCCCTCTCTCGTTAACATGGGATTCCAGTACTAGAAAGAAAACGTGAGTTTTAAGGCACAGTAAGGCTAGAACAAGCTTCAAAGCAATCGCTTGCACTCAGCTTTTGCGCCACTAGGTGGCGGTGTGACTGCTCGATAAGGCCACCATCACTTTCAAGGATGTAGAATTTCCCCCCAAACCACCTTTACTGAACTTCAAGTCCAGGAAAGGGGCCTCTGGATTCCCACAGGAGCTGGGAAACATTTAAAGTGCACTGGCAGTTAAATAAATGGATGGAAATAACATGCAGGCACCATGGATTTGAACTTTTTAAATAATTTCCCAAGAGAAATGGAGTCCTTCCCAGACATTTCTGTTTGAAACAGAAGGCTAACTTCTCCAGGGTGTCCCATGAATACACCGCGATTCCTTTGACATTCATGATCAACTTTAATGGAGCATTTTTAAAGATGTGGTTTTATTGGAAGGAACAATCTCATTCTCCTGCCCCTCATTTATCATTAATTTCTTGGAGCATCAGAATCTGAAGTTTGTGCCCCATCTTGTACATGCACGTGTTTTGATCAACATAAAATCTCCCCTGACAGTTTCTCAGCATGGACAGAAAAACACAGCCATGATTTTGCCTTGTGTTCATAAACCTATCTATTTTTCTACACAGAATAATCCCTAATGCCAAAATATTTAAAGTGGCAAATATTAATGATCTTTTATTATATATTAGTACACAATAAGTATATATAATTTTATACTCACAACAACCCTGTGAGGTAAGTACTATTATTATCCTCATTTTTTTAGAGGAGAAAACTGAGGCACAGAGAGGTTAAGTGGCTGGCCCAAAGTCACACAGCTGGTAGGAGACAGAGTAAGAGGCCTATGCTCTTCTTTTAATTACCTCATTGTAAGTTTAGTTAAAATGGGGGAGGGGTGGGGAAAGGCCCTGTGATTCTTTTCATGAGAGGTAGCAATTCATACAAGTGGGCCAAAGTCTCCAACTAAATTTTGGAGGTACCGGTTGCTCTGAAAAGATTTCCTCGGATGACTTGTAGCAGTTTGTCATCATTTGTCCCACTTTGCCAGGATTCCTTCTGAGAAGGCAGGGCTGATGGCAGCAGAGCCCCCTTTCCCTAGTCTGTGTAGGAATTCCACATGAATCCCCACTTCCTGCCAGCTCCTTAAGCTTTGGGGGAAGGTGAGATTTGTTCCTCTTCATCAAAAGCTAAGCACAGGCTTGTCAGTAGCCAAGATGAAATCAATTGTCTGTGCCCAATTAGGACCATGGCTCTGCTTTTGTTTCAAGACTTCATTTAATACCAGCAGCACCAGAGCTTGGAACAGGCATGTGTGACAGGCCCTATCCGGTTATGAAACAGCAAGTGACAGACACATTTTTATCTGCTTATCACCCTTCTGGTTACAATGAGGCTGAGTTGTGGTGTCTGATGTCCACCTCTTCTGCTATTTGCCAACAGAACATGCTTTTCTGTCAATGATTCCAGCCAGAATGCGGAGGCGGTACCTTTTCCTGCTGTAAAAAAAAACCACACATTGGTTTGAAAAAGGAAACCTGGATAGAGCTGTTACCTGAACTCCTGAAGCATGAAGTGGGAGGGTGGTCTCATTGAGTAGGTCTTCCTGGGGCCAGGGGCTGGGCTCACTCACTTTTGGCTGTTGTGTCTGCTTGGCATGTAGAATCCAAGCCCTGTGGCACTTTTCTGAGCCCTGGCCGGGAGACATCCAGGGCAATGGTTGAGAGATCCACTCTTCCCCGCTCCCCGCCCCACCAGGCTGACTTAGACAAGAAAAGTTCTATTGTGCCCTCAGGATACTGAGTAAGAAGGAGGAGAAAGAGGGGAACTAAAAAGAGCCTATTCGGCCTGAATGCTTCTGCTGACAGTCCAACCAAGCATGTGATATTAAAAGAGCAAAGCGAAGTCAAGGCTCTTCTGCTGCCACCATGGATGTCAAAGGGAAGAAACCGGAAGGTCTTTGGTTCTGTAATCTGCTTGCACACCCGGGGTTGTCCGCCTGCCGTGGAGGTCAAGGACGGGGGGCTGTGACTAGGGATGTCCACTCCAACATGTGGAATGTTTGGGACCCAATTGCATCCTGTAGTTGGGAGGTGAAGTGGGCTGCTTGACTGCAGGAACTGAAGGGGTTTGCAGCGGGTGGAAAGCCCAGTGGGTTCACTCTTGTCTGTTCTTGGTTAGACTTTTCTTCAAACTCTGGAGAAAATGGAGTATTCAAATGACAATCCATGTTAAGAGACTGCCATTGGCACAAAATGGGATTTTAAGAAATTGTGGCTATTAAATTAACCTCCCCTATCTCCCTTCATTCATTCATTCATTCATCAGTCATCCACGTTAAGCACCTACTGTATATGCCAGCCCCGTGCTAGTCAGAAAGGTGAATGAGACGAGGCTCTTCCCCTGAGTGGTTTATAGTCTTGTAGAGGTTATGCCAGGAATGGCCACTTTCCTTCTTATATAATTTTCCTTTCTTCCGTAGGGTTGACAGACTTTGACTTGTGTGCCCAACCTGGCCTATGGCCTGTTTTGCAGAGCCTCAGGTAAGAATGGGTTTCCCATTTTTAAAGAGTTGTAAGAAAAACAAAGAAGAAGAGCAACAATACATGACAAGGACTGTATATGGCCTAAAATATTTACTATTTGGCCCTTTGCAGAAAGTTTGCCAACGCCTGTTCTATAGTAAGATAATTCTTGCCTTTTAGCCAGGCATACAACTACAACTACATTTTCTACCCCTCTTGACACTAGCTGTGGCCATATGACTAAGTTTTGGACCGTGGGATCAAGGCCGAAGAGATCTGAAGAGCTTCTGAATCTGAAGTGCTTTTAAGCTGGGTCCACCATGCTTTTCTCTGCCAGAATGCTGTGCGGGCCTGAGCCATTCAGGTTTATTGATGACTAGGGCTTATTAATAACCTAGTGATGGCAGAGCCAGAGATGGAAGGAGGCTGGGCCCTGGCACCAGAGAGCAACTCTACTATCCCTGGATTTACTGGATGGTTATGAGGGAGAGAAAGAGAAAGAAGAAAAATGTTAACTTTTTTTTCTTTCACTCTCTAATTTTTTCTTTTATTGGAGTATAATTGCTTTACAATGTTGTGTTACTTTCTGCTGTACAACAAGGTGAATCAGCTATATGCATACATATATCCCCTCCCCCCTGGACCTCTCACGCACATCACCCCCTCATCCCACCCATCTAGGTCATCATAGAGCACCAACTGAGCTCCCTGTGCTATACAGCAGGTTCCCACTAGCTATCTATTTTACACATGGTAGTGTATATGTATGTCAATCCTAATCTCCCAATTCGTCCCACTCTTCCCTTGCCCCCCATGTCCACAAGTCCATTCTCTATGTCTGCATCTCTATTTCTGCCCTGCAAATAGGTTCATCTGTACTGAAAAATGTTAACTTTTAAAAATCAGTCTTATGTCTCTGCTCCTGCACCAACCTGCCCCTGATGTCAAAATCAAAACAAAATCCTAGAACCCAGAATGTGCCCTGTCTTCATGGAATGCATCTCCTTTCTTTTCTTTCACCTGGTTAAGTCCCACTCATGGCCCAAAGCCCAGTGTTGATTTATCACTGACTTCTGACCTCAGTCCCTAAAGACTGGGGAAGGTGGCCTGCCTTTCTTTGGCTTCTGTGCTATCTTTTAGTTGTTGGAATCTGTCTCTCTCTAGACCTTGAGCTCTGTAAGGGTGGTCTGTGACATTTTGGTCTTTGATTCCTAGCTTCTAGTACGGTGCCTGGCACACAGAAGGTACTTTATAAACATTGTGGAATTGAATTAATTTATTAGAGGCCAAGGATGGCTTCCTGGTTTGTGGGGCAGTTGATTTTTTTATGCATTTATCCCAGGTAAAGGTGAGTCTAGCAATTTCTACCTCTGAGGTGTAGACATAAATTTTGCTTTCCAAAATGGGGAGAAGAAATATACACGTTTAGAAAGATTATATTTTAAAAATTGAACATTTTATTGGGTTTGGATGGTAACTCTGTTTGCTGATAGTTCTGAATAGGTCTGAAGATTTAATAAAAACAAGTAAAAAGCCGTGAAGCCAGTTTAGTAACATGATGATACGTTCCTGAAATAAATGGAAGTATGGACATTTTCCCAAATCTATCTTATCTTGAGCTAACCTTATAATTATGGAATAATAAGCACTCAGTTTTTTCCTATTTTTATAAATCCTTCTAAAGGAAAATTTGTGCAATAATCTGTTATTATTGATAACAATTACATAATAATGAAGATAAAAATTCCATTGGGTTCTCCCCATTCCTCTTTATGTTATATAGCTTATAATCAATAAGTGCAAAAACAAAAACACTGTTTTTGGTGTAAACCTCTTTTACCATATGCTCTGGATACATGTAACCAATTTTCTGAACCAACAAATTAATATAAGACTTTCAAGACATGATATAGCAGTAGTATTTTTCCCATTATTTAGAGGAAAGAATACAAGATAGGAGGGGCATATTTTTTTTCACATATAATCCTTCTTGAGGTGGTGTTAACAGAAGATAGAGTTGGACAGAATTACTTGTACTATTTTTTTTTAAAGGAACCAATAATGTAATATGGGATTAGTAACTGAATATCTACTTTTCATTATTTTTGTAGTTACTCCCTAAAGCTTTTCATAAATTACAAGGAACGCTGAGCAATAAAATAAAAATAAAATAATTCAAAGGTTTCTTAAATCAGATGTTAGATCTTATATTACATCTGCTACAGAATCATAGCTAACACCTCAGTGCTTCTGGGTATTTTACTAAATGTTTAGGGCTCTCCCCCGCCCCCAGCAAAAGCAATTCTAAGCAAATGCTGAAGATCTCAGTGAATAGCTCATTCTTCGTGCTCCTGAGGGCCAGGCTTTTTCTTCCCCATCCTGATCAATTCTATTGTGCCACACAAGGAAATAAAATACTGTAGGAGGAAAATTAGTGAGTTGGGGGATTATGGATGAGGTTGGAGGAAGTCAGCTTACTCAACTCGTGACTACTAGTAGCAATACCTATTTAGGATATCAGAATTTTGGTCTTTATAATCCAGGCAAATCCTTCTACTATCCTTATCTCATCCCATCCTCTCCTCTACCCCAGGCTGAGGACCTTACCCTATCTCTATCTGGTAATCACTACCTATAGCACTGGCCTGTTTATACCTATGGCCCGCGAACAAGCTTACTTTTCTGACTCTAAATGAGAATACTGTGTGTATTATTGTTCTTACACTTTAGCAATTATGACGTTTACTTTCCCTCAGTTAAAAAAGAATGATAAAGTTCATCTTCTAGTTCCGATGGGAGTGACACAAAGCCGATGGCCGATCCAACCACCGCTCAAGGAGAGGTGATCTGCTTCCCCAGGGGCTATGCCCGCTCTGCTGTGCCATTTAGAGCCTCTAGCGACTTATTCAGAAAACAAATCCTGAATGTGCTTGAGAGTGAAAATGATTTGGCCTGAAGTTAGGCTTTTGCGCAATCCTGATGGCTTCCTTTCCTAGGGGCATCAGGGTGTAGTGTGAAGACACACGGGGCGGGCGGGCTTCGACCTTCTGCTTGCTCAGCACGCGAACGCCTTGGGCAGGAGAGCCCGAGCCCCGCACCGCTCCAGACTATGGAGCGCAAGATGAAGCCACGCCCTTCCAACAGTTCGCCCTTGCCCTGCTCCGTATGCCTGAGTGTCGGGAATTCTGTCTGTAAGCCAATGACGTCCTGATCACAGGTCATCGAAGGTGCGTGTTCCTGGAATGAGTCTACTGCCTGCCGTCAGAAACACCCTACTGCCAGACACACTGGCGATTAGGATGAGAATGCATTGTGTAAGGCTAGCAAAAAAAAAAAATATATTTGAGCATGTGCCCCTAATATCTGGGTATTTATTACTGATATCTATCTATCTATCTATCCATCCATCCATATATCTTGCTTTGGGAATATACTTTACCCATTATAAAATGTAAACAAAAATAGAAAAGATGAGATTTTTAAAAAAATCTAGTATTTCTAACAATTTCTCTTCATGCTCAACAAACTGTCTTAAACCCTCCTTTGAAGGGTCCTCCACTTTGGAGGCCACTAGAGAAAGGAGTGGAGAGAGGAAATTGTAGCACTAGGAGTCAGCAAAGGGCACAGGGACATCAACAAAACCAGGGTCCCCTAGTGGTTGGTTCCACCCATTCAAATGGGTTCACCACTTGCTTTCTGTAGCAGGCAATCCAAGCACACCCTCTGTCTGATCCAAAGGCTGGCTCTTCAAGCGGTTCTGCCCCAGTGCATGGCCTCTCCTGGGTCTCTCCTGGGTCTGAGGCTCTCACTACTGCTCTCTTAACCAGGTAACCACCTAAGGAACGTTGTCACTTAAATGTCCAGCAGGCACTGCAATCACCTATTCACATGAGACCGAAACATGAGCCCAGAATCAGCTTTAGCCTCCCTCCTCCAACTCCCAGGCTCGCGTCTCCACTGCCCATCCTGTATTCTCTGTCTCAAGAGCT